TCGAAGTCCGCAGTTCGTGCTTTGAAAATCGAAAAACTTTATCCAAACACGCATTTCAGCCCTTCAAAGATGTTCAATGATCTGTTCTGCGGAAGTCAAGACTTTTCTAAGGTTATTTATTCTATTTGGAACTCTTACAAGCTATAAATCGAGCCGAAGAGTCATTCTAAGAAGCTTTTTAAAATATAATATACAAGCCATGAGACTAAGGTAGTCCAAAGTTAGGTCAGCGTACTAACAACAACACAAAGACATCTCTATGTTAATTTTCATCCCAATGTTAAATTCGCCAAAAGTAGTCGAGCGGTTAATGGTCTGGACTTCAAATTCGTAGTTCGTCTCTGGAGTCGCGGGTTCAAATCCCAGAAGTGTAGAAATGAAAAATTAACAAAAAAATCACTAAATAAAATAATAACAAATCACTAAATAAAATAATAAAATAAAATAAAAGAATATAATAGAAGAAAAGAAAAAGAAAAATTAATATTCATAAATTAAAGTTTACAGCCCATCGAGCGAGCGAGCGAGTGAAATTTGCATATCTGTTTCCACAGCTATACTCGATTCATTACATTTACTCGTAAAAAGGGTGGGTACTGGGCTAGTATAGATATGGACATGATGCGGCAGTTGAGACAGACGCAACAATAGAGCAGTTTTAAGAGCATAATTAGGAAGTCGTTCGTTTGGAAAATCGACGGTCCGGATTATCATGTAACTCGCTACGAGTAAACTTTAACTGCTTGCAAGCATGTTTGAGGTCATTAGCAAAATATTCACCGTGGCATATGAAAAATAATCGCATTTGATTAAAAAAGAAGGCTTCGGAAAATCTGTTATAACTCAAACAAATCGAAATCAAAAATTTTATAAAATGTTAGGATTCTATTATCGGATTCTGAAAAATCGAAGAAATCGATAGAAACCATATACAGCTGTTTCGAGAAACGTTGTCTTTAAAAAGCGCACGCGACAATCCCGAAAGGTAATCTGGGATATGATCAGCAAAGTACGTTCCTGACACTGTAGCTATCGAACCTACTTTTGTTGCTTTATTTTACACTTGCAAACATACTTCCATGGCGTCTCGTGCCATTTTCTCAGATTTCCTTGAAATGCTGAAGTGCAAGGAACCGTGAACTTAAAACTACCCACAATACCTTTCGGGATTATCGCGTGCGCTTTTTCCGACAACCTTTCTCGAAACAGCTGTATACCCGCGGGCTACCTTAAAAGGCTCCTGTAAGTATCGCAAATTGTGGTTTTAATTTTGTAGCTAAAATAATAGCTTTTCGTTTGATTCCCATGTCTCATTTGTAATTATCTTTGAGCATTCTAATCTGCAGAGGTCCAGAAGTAAAATAATTAGCAATTATTGGACGAGTTTGAGCAAAAAATCGTGCCTGTCAGTGGCGAGCTATGACGCGTAATGACATGATAAATCCTAGTGTCTGTAGCTATGACGCGTCAATTCGATGGTAAAGGTATTTATTTAGAGCATTTTCCAAAGTTCAAATGCGCTTTACAATTCAACTCATCCTATACCAGCATCTGTAGTGTCTCATTCATATTCAAGGAATATACATAGATCTTCTGCTAATCAAGTCTTACCAGATAAAGTACTAGATAAAGACAATATACTTTTAACAGTAAAAAGCTGTATATACATAGGATATATTAACCTCAGCTTTTTACATTTCAAATTTGGGATTTTCTTTAATTACCTGTCCTTATATTCTTGTTTAATAGACAGTGTTTTACGCTTGTGTTATATTTGTTAAGTTATTTAACCATTACTCGCCGAAGGAGAAGTGAATATTGGTGAATATTTACCGAGACGTGATTTCTGTCACTCCATCCGACACAAACACGCCCGCCCTGGTTGGCCACACAATCTGCAGGGTACAGAATTCTGTCTCACAAAATCAGTGTTGTCCCATTTAAAACTATCAATAGTAGTCAAACTTTTCTTCCTTGTCAATTTGAAATAGAAACTGTTTGTTTACAGTCTGAATAATTAACAATTAAGAGAGATAATCCGGAAGGTGTTCTTTAATGTACTCAGTAATAACATCTCTCACACATAATCCTTCTGCAGAATCCACAGTAAGAAAAAAGATGGCAAAATGTACCGCCGCCATCTTTTTTCCTACGGTGGATTATAAGACAAAATATGTCTGGTGCAACATTAGGTTGCATTTGCTTATCATACTGAATTTGTCGTTGGATATTATCATCAGCTATGTGCATGTTATTGTTATTGGTCGATTCCGGTGAAACTTAATAGTAATATTTTCAAATGATGTTATTACATCATGATTGTCGTTTTTACTGGCAGATCGCGATTTACAGGTGATACTTCAGCCACTAAATTTCAGGGAATTGTGTACAATCAATTTCGGTGCCCAAGTTTTTCAGCTTGAGAAGCGTCCTAAATTAAATGATTGAATCATCTAGTGGTAAATCATAACCTCTTTTGTGATGCAACAAGTCTAGCTGAAAGTTATTGGCTTCTAAGTGAGTAACAAAGTAAAAGTTAGACTTTGAAACGTTCGATCTATTTTTGAAAGTTTTTTTTTGCAATTCCGTTTGTTACATCACGATAGAGTACACAGTACACCAAGTTTACCTCCCTCGCGTATCAATTCCTGAAATTCTATATTCGCAACAAAAACTTGGACACAAAATTACAGTTTTCCCCGTCTCCGAAGATCATAGGCAATAATGTATTCAACAATGCTGTGAATCTAATTATGATAATTCCCTACATTCCAGTGTACGTGCCGTAAAACTGAGAACAATAACGTGTTAATTAGACCCGTACATAATTTATTGAATAAATTATTAGATAGTAAAAAAATGATATTCTCATGAATGTTTCTCGTGCTGTCGGCATCAGTCTGCACGGTCCGTGTATACTCTTTAAAATAATTGCATCGTCTTACGTATTGCATTACGTAATTTTGCAGAAATTTGTCTTCAAACAACATTGCATTTCTACCTGACAGAGTGTTTGCCAATCTGAGAAATCTGTACATTCTGTAAGTGAAGCTTAGCGCAATGACTGCAAACCTTGCATGGGTTAATATTAAATCTAATTAATTCCTCGCGTAGCGAGGTTTATAATGTTGTCCCCCAAGCTCGACTGGATCAAATTCTCGCATGGCGTTTACGGTCATATTTATTTATTTCCGATGGTACCGGACCGTTACTAGGCAACAACAACAAATCAGCGGTTATAACCGGTTGCGAACGCGGGCGTACTCTGTGTTTTCTTCAGTGGTGGGTCGAAGAGAGAAAAACTATGCTCGAGAAAATGTTCAATCTGACCCGCAATTCCTTCACGTTCCACTGAAATTCAACAGGGCAGGACTCACAATTACAGGTCGAAGGCCGGAGGAGATATGCAAACGGAAAAACCACAAGCAATAGTTCCAGTTCGCGTCATTACACCAAGACGATTGAGCGTCTTTGAATTCGATTTTCTTGCTTCGATGGCTTCAAAGAACATGTACTTCTGCAGAAGACGTTCTTCGAAATGTGTGGGATAGTAATTTTGAGGTTGACTTCGGGTCAGAATTCGGAGATTTGTCGTCTTCAGGAAATGCGTGTATCCACAACTTGAATCAGCTGATACAAGGTCTGTTTCTGGAATTTATTTTGTTTTTATAGGCAGATATTCACATAAATGATAAGAAACTAAATATTAATGCTTTTATGTCATCCGTCGTCGTTCTGATTTCTATGTATTTTAAAAAGTTGCAATTGAATTGAGCAGTACAGTTCTGTACGTGTCAGATTTCATTGTTTATGAATTTTTACGAATTAATATAAATTGTTTTCAGCGAGGCCATTCGGCAGAATGTCATAATTTAAGAAATTTATGTATGTTAGGAAGTTATTTTGGATATGTAAAACGTTTTTCAGCTAAATGAATTCCAACATTTACTAGAAAATTTCACTTTGTTGTCAATGTGTTTGAGTGTTGCGTGACAAGAAATCCTCCTATGTTACCAGAAATTCCAGGAATAATTGAGTAAATTGCCACTAAAAGGTACAGTATCTAAAATGTCTTCTTGAGTGAAGTCTTACTATTTTTGAGTCAGCTCTATGATTTGAAAATTGCTGAAAGCCAGTTTGTATACATAAGAGAAAAAATAATGATGGAAAACGTGACAAGTTTCCAAAACAGATGTCACTAGACTAATGAACTCCAGTCGATCTCTAAGGCTTGGTTATCACCCTCACCTCCCAAAAATAATTAATCCCCATTCCAGCTTCGCGAGGACCTGCGAGTCACGTATTACTAGTATATAATAATTTAACTTGAACAAAATGTTTAGTTATTATCGTCTTGCGTACGTATTGCATTACGTAATTTTGCAGATATTTGTCTTCAAACGCCATTACATTTCTTCCTGATAGTTATAGAGTGTTTGCCAGGTCAATTAGCATACATTACCATACATTATTTAGGTAAAGGCAAATGAAGGAAAACCGACAGCATTGTTTTTCATTTCCATTTATTCAGCTTAGAAACGATGTATAGCATTATGGCATATTGTGTATTCCTTGGAAATTATGCCTGTTGAGATAAAACCACCTCAAAATGTTCAATTTTTGCGGCATTCACCAAAGCGCACAGCACTTTAAAACTTCTTGCATGGGTTTATACCTATGAAACTAAATGAAACCTATAACATACTAGGTAGATCAATTTTTACGTTTTCTTTATTGCATTACATATTTTCGCAGAGATTTGTTTTTCAAACACGTCATTACATTTCTACCTGACAGAGTGTTTGCAAGTCTGATAAATCTGTTTATATCTGTCCATGACAAGAAACGAAGCGCACTGCACTGCAAACCTTGGATGAATTTTTAATATATTTATAGCCATGAAAAATTAAGCAGAATATCATAATTCGATATTTAAGAAAGACAAGTGATTCTCGCTGTTGTGTTGACAATTTAAGAGATTGCAAAGATGCCAGAAAAAAATTCAGAACGTAAATGGGATTTGAACCCATGACCTCTCGTTATCGGTGCGATACTCTACCATCTGAGCTATGATCATGAAGCCACACATTGGGCGAAAATTGTGGTTTTATATATTTTATGAATTTTTTTCAGGCTCTTAGGCTTGTCTCGGAATGTTTTTAGAGAACAATATATCCATACTCGTATGCGCAAGCTCCAATATTTCCCCTGGTTTTCAGCTAGGGTTTTCAATCTCGTTCCCAGAGTCCTCGTTACCCTTGCTCCCTGCTTGCGGCCAACAAGGGCATCTGGGGGAAGCTAGCGATCCGCCATGACAGTATTATTGGACGTCCGGTTCTACTGCGCATGTGTTTTGACTCCATGTTTCAACTAAGATTCTTGGATTTTCCGGTCTTACTGCGCAGGTCAGGCGAATGACTCTTTCCCAGAGGTCCTTATTTGCCGCTCCACCGCTGGACAAGGGTAACGAGGCCTCTGGGAACGAGATTGCTAGGGTATATAATTAATGCTCTCGTATTTTGCGCAGTTAATAAATAACATAGTTTGCCAATTTAAGTCAATTGCAAATTTAATGCCATAAAATATGCAAATAACGCCGTAAACCTATGCAAATTATATTGTGTAACTATGGGATGTTTTGGTTAAGCCATATGCTAATTAGGAAATTGTTTGTCCTTTAGAGATCTTTCTTACAACATGATTGGACATTTATCAAATGCCTTATGTTTTGTTTGAACTCGTTAATAGATCTGTATAAGTATCGCAAATTGTGTTTTTTTGTTGGGTTAGCTAAAATATGTCTCATTCGTAATAATATTTGAGCATTCTAATCTGGCAGAGGTTCAGAAGTAAAATAATAAACAATTATTGGATGAGGTTTGTGCATAATAGCGAGAACATGATTCAAGGCCGAGATTTGTGTTTATCTGCCGAAGCCGAAGGTTGAGGCGGACAACACAAACCGAGGCCATGATAATTGCGCCATCATGCGAAAAACGAATCCAATAATTGTTTTATTATACATACCTTATTGTTTACTTATTTTGGCGGGACTTAATGTTTTTATAGTCAATTTTCAGTTCACATGATTATAACAGAGCATCCTTACAAGAAAAATTCTGGACTCTGGGTTATAAATATGCCTCTTGTTAAAAATACAAGAGAGAAAGACATCGTAAATGCTGCCCAGTGTAGTATAACGTTTTACCTCTTTGTCGTAAACAAACATGTCGATCTGTTGTACGTTTTGTTTTGTTATGGTCCTTGGTCCTGTTTTAATATCATTGCAAAATATGGCTATGTAAAATAAAATTCTGTAGCACTGATTCTGAGACTACATGTTTGTTAATGCGGATCACAATTCGGAAAATTTTCGCGAAATGTAGTTCCTTTTAACACGATTTTTTCTGCCAAATCGCGAAATTTAAGGCTCGCGAAAATTCCCGCGAAAATAAGTAACAAGGAGGTTAAATCATAATTTTGGGCTTAACTTTGCAGCGTTTTATTTTCTTTCCTTACTTTCCTTCGCGGATTGGTGGAGTATTTTAATTTATTTTTCGCTGCTGGCACTAATGAAGGGAACGACGCGTGGTACACGTGTATGACGTCAATGAACATGTCTGTAGGTATGACGCGTAATTACATGATATCTCCTAGTGTCTGTAGTTTATGACGGGTCAATTCCGATGGTAATGGTATTTTTCCTAGCGCTATTTTTCGAAAGTTCAAAATACGCTTTAACAATTCAATTCAGCCTATACCAGCATCTGTAGTGTCTCATTCATCTCCAAGGAATATACATAGAGCTTCTGCTAATCAAGTCTTACCAGATAAAGTACTAGATAAAGGCAATTCCTACTTTGAACTGTAAAAAAGCGGTATATACATAGGATATATTATCGTCAGCTTTTTACAGTTCAAATTTGGGATTTTTCCTTAATTGCCCTGACCTTATATTTCCCGCTGGATGGAGGTAGGGCGGGGTCTTGTTAATAATTAACAAACCTAAACGAAATTAAAAAATGCCTGTTTTCTTGACCTGGAATGCATGCAGCAATTTAATTAAGCAGCAATCAAATGCATGATTTTAACTTGCAACAGCAACTTTGGACTGTTTAAAATTGCGTTTTGCGGATATTACTGTGTAATTGCACTCTTCTTGAACAATAATGGCCTGTTGAAATACACTTGAGATTGATAAATAATAATAGTCTTGTACTCATTAGTTGTCCCCTTAATGGAGGTTGAAATAGCATTCAGGACACTCAAAAATGTCCCCGTCTACTTAATAGAAGTGTCCCTTTAATGTAGGTGATAAATACAAAGATTATATGAGTGTTTTTTTCCGGAACCTGAAGAAATGTCCCCTTAATAGAGGTGTCCCCTTAATAGAGGTGTCCGAAAGTAGAGGTTCCACTGTATTTGAAGCCAGTCTTTTGGGATTAAAAAAACCCAAACTTCTTGTAATTGATGAGACATCATAAAAGCACATAAACAAGTATTAAATATATATGTCAATAATTAATATCCTCCATCTTTGCCAGGTTTTAATCATTAATTCACATAAATTTATTAAGTAATACCGTAAAAAGCTCTATTAAGCCCCCGGGGGGCTTATTTAATTTTAGGTCTCAAGAAGGGGGGGGCTTATTAGAGAGGGGGGCTTAATAGAGAGGGTGGGCTTATTTCAAATCCTACATTTTCGAGAAAATTCACATTAAATTTTTAAAACTTTACTATTATACCACTAACTAAAAAAGAACAAGAAATGGGTTTATGTATGACCGTCTTGCGAATACAACGTCGTTTTATACCATAACTTAAATGATAGTTTCCTGAAATAAAGACCACGTTTCAATACAAAGTGACAAAAATGCCAGAAAATATTGTTGAAAAAGTCATTTACATAAGCCTGACGGAAAGGGGGAGGGGGGGCTTAATAGAGAGAGGGGGCTTATTACAAAATCTGACTTCCAAAGGGGGGCTTATTAGAGAGGGGGGGGCTAAATAGAGCTTTTACGGTAACTCAATTCGATTTAGAGTTTTCATGTCAGAAGATAACCATGTTTCTCTATCAGAGCAAAAACTCAATTTGTTTCCAGTTAAGAATTCAGTACTATTTATTAGGATCTTAGCAAGCTTACGTTAAGTGAGTAGGGACCTAAGAGTGTTAACTGTACTACAATATATCCATACTTGTATGCGCATGCTCCATGTTGATTTCAGAGCTATGGTCTATATTAATATTCAACATAATGTTCTCGTATTTTGGCGCACTAATAAATAACATAGTTCATATCAATTTATCATATATTTAAGTCAATTGCAAATCTCATTCCATAAAATATGGAACAAAATAGACAAAGAAATACGCAAATATAAAAAAATATGCAAAGAAATATGTGAAAGAACGCCGTAAACCTACATAGATTCTCTTGTGCAATTTTGGTAAGTTTTGGTTAAGCCATATGCTAATTAGAGAATTGTTTTTCCTTTAGAGATCTTTCTTACAACATGATTGAACATTTGTCAAATGCCTTATGTTGTTTGAATAGTTTATGGCTTCTGTAAGTATCGCAAATTGTGGTTTTAATTTTGTAGCTAAAAGAATAGCTTTTCGTTTGATTCCCATGTCTCATTTGTAATAATATTTGAGCATTCTAATCTACAGAGGTCCAGAAGTAAAATAATTAACAAATATTGGACGAGGTTGAGCAAAATATCGTGATTTGTCAGTGGCGATCTGATCAATTATTTGATCTGCGAGACACTAACAAATATAACCGTGTTCAATAATTTTTTTATCGCAAGATCCCTGAGTTTGTTTTTCGCAATTATTTTCAGGAAGAGGAAAGCCGCGCTCCTTGCTGAAGTAATCGCATAAATCCTTCTCAGTTCAATAATTTATTCCGTCGACTGTAAATTATACATAAAAATTCAACACATAAATTCAACTTGCCTTCTTTGTATTCTCGCTGTTTTTTATTGGTCTAGCAGACATGTCAAATCGCTCTCCGACAACTCTGGAAAACGAGCTGCCATTTTTTCACAGAAGTGGACACAACTACGCATGAGCAGAACATTATTTGCAGCTAAACATTTTGCACCATTGTGCGCATGAGTAGAACATTATTCGTAGGCAGTATTTGCAGATCACGTGGCGGGTTCTTGGCCAATAAAAAGGGAGAAAAGACAAGCATCGAATGACAATAAACAATTATTGGATGAGGTTGAGCATGATAGCGAGAATTATCCAGGCCGAGGTTTGTGTTATCTGCCGAAGCCGAAGGTTGAGGCGGACAACACAAACCGAAGACTTGATAATTTTGCTATCATGCGAAAACCGAATCGATTATTTTTTTTATTATATACATTTAAAATACTACCTTATTGTTACTTATTTTTGGCGGGACTTAATTTTTGCGATTTTCGCGATTGCAAACAAATCAGGAAATTAAAGACACGCGAAAAAAAGTTATGCCGAAAATTAGCGACGCGAAATTTAATACCCGGCTATAATACCCCTATATTAATTTTAACGTCAGTTTCTCAGTTCACATGATTATAACGGAGCATCCCTACAAGAAGAATTCTGGACTCTGGGATTAGAAATATGCCTTTGGTATTTATGCAATACAAAAGAAAAGTCATAACGTAAATGCTGCCCTGTGTAGTATAACGTTGTACCTCTTTGTTCGCAAACAAACATGTCAATCTGTTGTTCGTTTTGTTTTGTTATGGTCTTGGTCCTGCCCAATATCATTGCAAAATATGGCTATGTAAAATTAAATTCTGCAGCGCCGATTCTGAGACTACCTGTTTGTTAATGCGGATCAGCATTCTGAAAATGTTCGCAAAATTTAGTTCCTTTTAACACGATTTTTCTGCCAAATCGCGAAATTTAAGTCTCGCCAAATTTGCCTCTTCAATATTCGCGAAATTAAGCTCCCGCGAAAATAAGTAACAATAAGGTAAATCATCATTTCGGGCTTTTAAAACACGGAGCGAGCCTATAAAAGGCAAGGACACGCCCCCTCTGACGCACTTTGTTGGGGTTTTTTATCATCAATGGCATGTGGT